AGCTCCCTTGCCAGCTCCCATTGCTTCCTTTTTGTTTCTTATCTTCAGAGGTCTTTGCTGGTCATTGATAACTGTACTGGTAACAGTATCCTCAAACCGGACACTCTGCACCTAAAATTCTTAATTTCAATTGTGAAACTGTGAATGTTTAAAGGATGCAGAACTGGGTCATTAGAAAGAAATGAGGGAGGGAGCTAAAAGTAAACTATGCTATTCCATCAGGACTCTCTACAAGCTGTATTCACTCCTTTGTTCAAAAGCTCAGTTTCTGAGGTCAGGTAGAGGAGCACAGCCAAGCTCTGTGATGCGGGGTAGCAGGTCCATACAACCACTGTCTGAAAGTGATCTGGGCAAAAGAGATCAGTGCAGTCAATCTTTTGATGTTCTAGAGTGAAAGAGAATTAAGATTTGTTCACATAGAGGGAAAATAATGGGGATTTTTTTTTTAAATTAGTCTGTGTGACTAGAAGGTAAATCAGGCACAGAAATTAAAGGTGGTGTACAGAATTCAATAGTATCATCTGCATATAGAAAGTGGAATTCAATCACATGGCAGAAATTTTTGAAAAGTAGGTTGTCGTGCCTTTCCTGCTGCATATATGTTCAGCTTGTTCTGCAGTAATTGATGTGATTGTTGTAGTGATAATAGTTGTGATATAGTATTGTGAATGTAAAAATAAATATATGTGTATTTAGCTTTGTGTGACTAGATATTTAAATTTAAGATGCCAAGCACTTAAAAGCAAGTTAAACTGTAATACCAGTGAATATTTTCTACCTGCCCCTCTAACAGATAGTGATGCTTGTTATATTCCTCTGACTTGCCCATTTGGACAAGAAAATTTGAAATTTTGCAAAACGTTTACAGTAAAATGAAAGACAACTGGCTGTGTGACTCATCTATATTCCATGGCCAACTTTGATGAGCCATTTGATCATTTGTAATTATTTTATAATAAAGCTAAGAGGTCAGCAAGTGGATTTCTGGGTTTGCTGTATCGATGTATTTGTATAAAACTTATTTTGTTCTTTAAATTTTAAATTTTATTTATGTGTAGAAAGTATATATTGTTTTTTAAGTAGTTTGGCCTTCCATAAATGTGCATGCTCTCGCTTATCGCTCTATTAAGCATTAAATTCAGTCCTGTTTAACCTACTCAACATTTTGCTGGAGGCACACAACATTCTAGTATGACACTTGTGCAGAGAGGCACAGACTGTTCTTGATGCCAGCTGACGTTAAAGCATTAGCTGGTATCAGCTCTGCTTCATGAGCATGCTATGTTTTGCCTTTTTCAGTAATGCTCATTTGAACACAGGTTTTCCCATATGCAGCTTAAGTAATGCTCTAATCAAAGAAATGAAAGAGACATTTGAAAAATTGTCATCTTGAGTTCACCTCGCCTCAGAAGTCCTTTCGACTGAGAGTAAAATAGAGTAAAAACCATGTTCAATCAGTGTCACTACTCCATTTTACATATCCTTAAATAGTAAATCATGAACCAAGTTTTTCTTTCTCTGCAGACATCAAATAGTATTGGTTTTGGAAAGGAAACAGAACGATCCATGACTATGAGTAAATCAGTAATACCCAATATTCCCTCATCGCATGAGAGTTTGATCAAGTGGGCTTATGAGCATAACTATAGTCCAGTTACTTCCTACACAAAAGCCCCTGTCGCTAACAGATTTCATCTGCAACTTGAAGATACAGGTAAGCTTGAAGGTGGACTTTCAGCATATAGAAAATATATATCTTGTACTTCCAGGAATATGATGATTTGAAAGGTGCTTTCTCAGTTTTGAAGCATTGTTGTTGGGGGTTGCAGTACTTTCACTGCTCATCATCTAGGATGCTGGTAATACCTGTGAATGCTGGTTAAAAGATATAATCTATGTCATTTTGATTAGAAAAGTCCAGGCAAATTGTGTTATTTCTGGAAATGGTGGTGGAATTAAATGGATATAGTTTATCCGACTCACAAGCTGTTACAACTGACCATGCTCAGTGTTCACTGGAATGGACTTCAGCAACTGGATATCCTGTTAGATAATAAATCCAGCTTTGATTTTATTTTTTTTTTCAAAAACTTATGAGCATAGTGTTTCCTTTAGATAATTAAATAAACTTAAATTATTTACAGACAAAACTAGCTTACCAAAAAATCTGAGTGAACAGAATAAATAGAACCATTAAAAAAAATAATCAGTTATTTGGCTGAAGTCATTGCTGAAGTAAAGATAGCTGGGTCCATTGAAGCTAGTGGAGTTGCATATGTTTTTTCACTTGTTCTGAATTTCAACCACTGTTGTTTAGCTGTTTTGGTAAAGCTTGTGTTCATATTAATTTTATCAATTGCACTCTCATGGCTTACAGATAATTATCTGCTTGGCACAGATGTCCAGACGTTGAGATTTCCATCCTGAGCAGTCACGTGTATAATCCAGGAGATAGATAGTGTTCTCATTTACTCAGTATAAAGTTAATTTCACTTTAGTTATGTAAGTAATTCCACAACAGTGGAGTAACTGAGTTTGTATTGGACAGGTGATGGAAGAATTTCACCCAGTGGTTTGTACTTGGGCTATTTCAGCAGCATTAAAATAGCGTATTTGCTGAATGTGATGTTTCTTTTATATCTGTGGTTGCTTCTTGCATATAATAGGCCCACTCCTCAAAGTTTATTTTCAGCTCTTAGTGAGGCAAACTCCTAGCAGGGACTAAATATACCCAGATCAGCTGCCTCAGTAACAACTAAACCCTTAGTGGAGGAACTGTGGCTAGTTACCTGAAAAATACAAACATGCTGCTTTGGATGTCCTTCAAGAGTTTCCTTTCTGGATAATATTTTTTTTGTATGGAAATTTAGTTCTAGATACCATATCTAATAACCTAATGTTCTTTTTTTTTCCTTCTTTTTTTTTTAGAAGAGATGAATGATGAAGAAGACCATTCCCTTCCTCCAGAGCTGACAGAATTGCTGGGTGCTAACCCACTGCCTGCCCCGAAGAATCCTGCATTAAGTGATGGCCTGACTTTTCCTTTTCACATTAACAGAGGAAGACATGACACAGTGGGAGAAGGAATCTTCCCATCCAGGGATTCAGTGGACACATTAATAAATCATGACTTTGAGCATTCTCTCTCAAAACATAAAGAACCCGAAGAGGTACAGGGCAGTGCTGGTGTGGCCCTGTCAACAAAGTGTGATGACAAAGTCATGACAGTAGCTGTAGAAAAAGACTCTCTGCAGGTTGGTGTGATCTCTTATTCTCAAATTTGAGCAGGCTTTCTTTGGGCAGAACATTTTATTTGTATTTTGATCAAAAAAATAAACATTCTAAGTTCTACAGCCATCACCACCCAAGCCCCCAAAAATAGTTTGGTGGGGAAACTATACTGTAGATATTCTTTGCCATAACTCAGGGTCATGTTTCCTCTTCCCAACAATCCAGTAGCTTGTAAAGGGATTTCTGATTAAAGCTTTGCAACGTTGGTTCTGTCAAAAAATTACTGTACTCAACCATCAGTCTGAGTTTTTAATCTCCAAAGTACAAAGAAGCTGCTTTTGATAGCTGTGCAATACCTGAATAGATCTGTCTTTGCCATCTGACAGGTTGCTTGTGTCCATTTGCATTGTGGAAAGGAGCCTGATACAGACAGCATTTTTAGTTCATTTCAGACCAAACAGAGACAGCATTATTAATCAGCAGATTAATAATGAACCTGTTGTTTTCTTTGTTCCATGTTACATTTATTCCTTGTCTCTCGTGTATAACAGCGTTTTGAGAGTGACCTTCCCTGGATGTCAGTACAATGAACTTTGCTTCCTCCTATTAGCAGTCATGAACAGTATTCTGAGCTGCACTTTAAGCAAGAGTCTAACACAATTGTGTTTCAGCCACTTACAAAGCGACTTTGTTTCAGGCTAGCGGCTACACAAGGACAGAACTCTCGCTGCTGGATCGCTCTTGCAAAGCCAGGATGAATGGTACCCATTTCATTTTGGAGTCTTTGCTGAACAAATGCGGGACTCGGACAGCATATATCTTCAACGAGATTGTTTATTTTAATTCTGTGAGTATTTTACAAAGAGGAGCCGCCTTCTGCACTGCACATCATGTTACAAGGAAGCCCTTGTAGTTAGCTTTAGTCTTACTAAAAAGGTGGCATCCTGATCTTTCCTGTCTAGCTCAAACCTAGTTGCAGCTACAGTTCCTGTATTCAAGGAGGTATGAAGGCTGTGCATTCAGTGTGGTCCTGTGGTCAGACAGTATCCCAAAGGAAAAAGGAGGAGTTGGAGTTAAATACTTTTACAATTGTAAAAGTGCGTGGCTGCACTTTAGGTCAGTTCTGTACCAGTCTCATAGAAGTTGCACCAGCTTTCCCTATGCAGCTTTGATGTACCCATACACAAGCAGTACTATATAGCTTCAAAGAGGAATAGGGATGAAGTTTTGTGATTGCACAAAGCAATACCATTTCATTCATATGCTGGATTGTTTTAAGTGAATTTTTTTTCTTCCAAAACTGTGTAGGAAAAAGACTTTCAAAATGTGAGGAAAAGACATTATCTGTGCATGCTTCTCTTATAATTTGGGTTCATATTTCCTGTCAGTTGATGTATGTGATGAAGGGACTCCTGAGTACGTGTGTATGAGTGATGATGCTAAGGAGCCCAGTTAGGTTCTAAGCAGCTGCTTGCAGACTGGCTCAGTTTATGAGTTTGAGTGCAGTGCAGGTAATCTGGGTTGGAAAGTAATGACACGTTTCTCTTGCTAAGCTTTCCAGTACGTAGAAGTAACCTTGGCAAATGATGGAAAGCCTGTGGTCCAACCCAAATACAGCTAAGGCAATCTGATCTGACCTTGCCTGGTTAAAACCGTTCTATACTGGCAAGTTTGTAGAACCTAACTTCAGAACCAGTCCCAAACCAAGACTGTGGATAGAAATATCTCCAAACTATTGAACAGCATGTGTCTGGAGCTAAATACTGTCATTGTCCCTATATTCTATTATCACCCAAACTAAAATGGATATTTGCCTCCTCTCCTTTCTGCATCTTATCTTTTAATAGTCTTGGCTACTTACTTAAACTCCAAGTCACGTGTGGTATCTTTCAGAATTTGGGAGGATTTCTCCTAAAAAATAAACATGCTATGGAGTCTCAAAGAGTGTATATGTCCCTTCTTAGCAGTTGTTCTATGTCCAAGAAAACAAAGATGAAGTCCTGGAAGGGAGGGGACTAGCTGAGGAGCTGCAGCGCTGCAGGGTATACAGAAGCAGAGTGCAGAACATTGGAAAACAAAAATGGGAATTTTCAGGTGAAGGAATGGAGATGTATGCAAAGGAGGAAAAAAAGGGGTGAGGGGGATTCAGAAGAAATTCAGAAAAGGAGGGAAAAATGAAGAAAGGGACATCATGGTTTTGTGTGGATATCTCTGACAAAAATATGCAAATGACAGAAGAGAAAATCCTTTAATGACCCTTACATTTTCAGTGATTTTCCATAAGTGCATTAAGGAAAACTGTAAGCTGCAAAAAAATCACTTTAGAAAGCTTTTTTTTTTTTTTTTTTCAGTGTTCATTACAGAAATACCAGGAATAGAATGGAAGTGCTAGGCTGCTCATTCAGACACCAGCACCCAGACTAGTGTCTTTGCTGGCTCTGAATTCTGGAAAAAAAACCAAGTGGTGTTCTCTATATATCACCTACATGTCTTACATGTTCAGCACAAGGCTGTTTAAGATGTGCTTTTACCATCTGCTTAGCCAGTGCACTTCTTTTTGCCTTTGCATTGTTCTGAAGAGAGAAGAAAATAATAACCATGAAGAGAGAGTGCTCAGTTATCACCTAATTTTATGCATTTGGAATACCTTTTGTGCAGATCGTCATTCAGATGTCATCACCAGCTGAAAGCAGCGGCTTTGATGATGATGACATGGAATCAGGTGATAATGGATTTCCAGGGGATGCTGATGAGGGAGATGTTGCTTTCTCAAGCTGGCCTGAAATAGCGGTATGTTACACTTGGGTTTGCACCTGATAATAGAAACGTGCCAGCTGTAATAGGCACTTCACATAAATTACAGTAATTGTATAGCAATTAATTTGTCTTTTAACACATTTCTTCTATTTCTTCTGGCCCTGTTGAAGATTTGCACTAAGCAGACAGAAGGTGGGTGGGCCTGTACTGTACATTCCAGATTTGTCCTTATCCAGCTACCACTCCTGACTCAGGATGTTATTGTATTGTTTTTTTCGTTTCAGTTTAATTGCACGCTGCACCAGCCAGAGGATGACAGAGGTGTGTTCTGGCCTCCTGAACCTCACATCACCAATGTGACCTTCAACATGGAGCTGTACAAAACGGATCTGTTCCTTGCTCCCTCCCAAGGACTCTTCTCTGTTGCTGAGAATGGGCCAATATATGTAGAGGTAACAAACTGAAAAAGGCTTTCAAACTAACAGAAACACTTTGTGAGGCCATGCAACTGAGCCAAATCTGTTCTTGTCAGTTGAAAGGTCTTGTTGTGCAGTTGCTTTAGGCAGACAGGTAGGTACTTTGGTGGCTGCAGAGAACAGAAACTGTGGGATAAGAAGCAGGACAATGTTTTGGGTAAAAACCAAAGGATTCCTGCAAAATAAATGGAATTTGACTACCATATAAATTGGTTATTCTTGACAAATCTACTTTTCTGTGCAGAACTTAAAGGTGTTCTCTGAGCTTTTGCTCTGAACTGGCACTTCCTGATGAAGACTTCAGGGTTCACTTCATTGGGTAATATGGCTGAACGTCGTTTGAAAGACGTAGATATGCATGAAATGGTTACAAGTGTCTGTCTTCCATATGCTAGTGTTCTCAGGTTACAAAGTTAATATCTGTCTCCAGTCCACTTACAAACACCAGTTACAATCCTTTTGAATGCTATCACACAAGAGATCTAACAGCTTTAGATAAATTAAGACCAGCAAAGTCAACAGCCAGGTACCCTTGACTTCAGGTATGTTTTCGACCTGGTAATACTTCCATGTGTTGCTAAGTTGCTTATGAAATCTGGGGAATTTCAAACCAATACAGGTAGTATTTCTAAAGATAGTAATGCGAACAGAATTTTGCATTTTTCAAATAATGGTAGGCATTAATAAATACAACATTGTCAGTGACGTAGTGTCACCAGTTTATAGATGAGTAAATCACAAGTGGTGAGCTATGGGCTTGGGCTTGTAAGACCAGGCAAATGAGAATATTGGCTGAAGCAGCGCTGTGCCATGTGCCTCTTTGTGAGCCCATGTTGCACATGATAAGTATAGTGACCCATTTGACATTGATGTGGTTTTCTTCATTGTTTCAGTGTATTGTGTATCTTCCTCATTCTCTACCTAGTGAAAAGTACTTAAGACAGTTGAAGCAAAAAGAAAGTATGTCACGCTCTGTTACGAATGTGTTTATAAAAGACACATGATGTTTTTCATTTGGATAGAACTGGCTGCTTCCCTCAGTGATCTGGGATGAATCCCCTTGGCTCTGAGCCCTCTGGATTTGTCTGGTTCTGGAGCTGTTTATTCAGACAGATGTTCTGATTTCTTCATCACCTGTCCTGGCAGAAGCCTTTTTTTTCCTATTTCCCCTTCTTGCATAGTGGAAAAATCTATATCAGTTTTGAACTTCTGTGACTCCATTTTTAGCTGACATAGATTTTTTTTTTTTTGATTTTGTTTCTGTTTTGCTTTTGTTATTAACAAATATATTTGGGGTTTATGGTCAATAAATTGCTTAGGTCATAATCTGTAAGAACTCTTTATCTCCCTTTTCCTTCCCTGCTAAAAATGGGTTTTTTTATTTGAAGCTTTTGGCTTTTTTTTCTTTGTTCTCTACTGTAATTTTCTTATCTTATTTTGGTCTCACCTTCTTCCTGTAGTTCTCTTCTTTCCCTGAGATATCATTTATCCTTTTATTTACCTGATGGTGCTTCATGATACTGCAGTATGCCTGTCCTTCTTACTATAATCTCATTTTTAACTAGTTTACACCATCAGCTTGTTTGCCCGTCAGTATCTGTGGCTTGACTTTCATTCATCAGTCTTTATTTCTGTTCTTTTTAGAAGATGGTCTTTCTTGCTTAGATGCTTCAGCACATCCCTTCATCTCTAATTCAATTGCTGCTCATGTAAGGGAGAAAAAATGAGAAATGCCTTTATGCACTGCACAACTCATAGCATCCAAAAATTTCTGTTTAGACCACAGGTAAATTTGGCAGGTTCTTCCTTAAATAGATAGCAGCATATATGGATTAAGTACACATTTAAGGCACATTTCTTCTAAGAAGGAAATTATTTCTTGTGGAACTGTTTTCATCAAGCAGTGTTAATAGTTAGGCACAACACTTCTGTTGTTTATTAAGAGCAACATGCTTCATTTGTTACAAATTCCATTTAATTTTTTTTCCTAATTATTCTGTAGCATTTGTTGTGTTCATTCCAGTCCAGCTGAGCAACATTAGTGCCCTGGAAGTTTGCAGTATTAATTATTTTTCATAAAAGAATATGAATTTCAGACTTACCATAAACTAAAAGGATCATTTCACAAGAAATTATGGCTTTTTAGGAGGCTCCCCCACCCCCCCAGTCCAGGAATGC